CCCCAAAACCCCAAAACCCCAAAACCCCAAAACCCCAAAACCCCGTTCTTAAAGGCCAAGATTGAATACAGATATTGGTTCTGATGTGTTTGAAAATTATGAAATTGGACGGATTTAGCTGAGGAGTCGATCCAGATCATCTTCATAGTTACGGTGTTCATCCTGATTGGTGTCCTGCTGTTTGCTGCTGAAATCGAAGGATGTAATATTAGGGGAGACATTTCTTTTTACTGTTGTGTGATGATTTTTTGCAGTAAGGGTATTTCCAAATCCACTCTGAGAGACCTGGAATCCAAGAGCAGACCCTTCTTTGCTTGAAAGATTAATTTTATATGATTGGTCCATGTTAGAGTATAATTCATGATCGAATTGTATCAAGCCACTTCCTTCAATGTTTCCATCTAGTATGTTTAAAGTTGAAGAGTTATTTTACTTCTCCACCATTCTCTCTAAACTTATATAATTTCCTATCCTGAGAAGTTACCAGATCATTGAGTAATGCATTTATGTCTCCACTTTTATCCATATCATTCGGATTCATACTGAAATCTTTTGAACCAAAAAGATCATTTAACTGGTCAATTCCCTTCCTTACATCATCAATATCCCGATTAGACTTATTCTGATTTCGCCTAATCAGCTCATTTGTGTTTCTCATTGGGTCTTCAGATCCCATATTAGTAGCATCTTTCAAAAATTTGTTCTTCTCAAATTTTAGCTGCTTCAGAGGAGATTTAGCTCTACCAAAGAGTGCATCCTTACTGAGCTCAGGTGGTTTACTAAACTGGTTGGCCCAGCCAGGGTTGTCTTGAACATTATTTTCCTTTTTCTCTCTCCTATATCAGAACTCACAAAATTTAGCCAAAATTGTACCTATCAAGACCACGGTTCTCATTGACAAGGTTCCACCATTTCTTCTCGCTAGGTTTGTTCTCGCCTAAGGGTTGCTTCTGGTCAGGAAATTTAGTAACATTGGCTTGAACTTTAATAGTCCTTGCATTGCTTCAGCCCATAAATATATTTTCAAAATCCTGTTAAAATTTTGGGGTTTTGGGGTTTTGGGGTTTTGGGGTTTTGGGGTTTTGGGG